AAAGAAAAAATCTTGTCTGAGCATCTCATTTCCATTGATCATTTATTCAGAGGCGGATCATGAGACATATTTTAGGAGGGAAAATTCAAAATTTTTCGGTCGAATGTGTCATGTTACAGATTTTGTACTTGTCAAATGTCTCAGGCTACACTCTACTCATGCTGCGATACGATTTTATTCATTTTAATGATCATCCGAAAATAGTTTTGCTTGAAAGTTACACGACAAGTTAAAGTCAATAGTTTGAAAATTTTTATCGTGGGGAGGTGTGTGTGGGGGGGGATTTGCTTCCCCGTGGATCGGCGCCTGTTGCTCTCGTGCTGAGTGTGGTGTAGCAAAGCCCCGCTGCGCGTGCGCAGGCGCTGGACCTGACGATGAACCGCATCCGCGAGGTGCCGGCCGGCGCCTTCGCGCGCTACCCGTCGCTGGAGCTGCTCTACCTGGACGACAACGCCGTCGCCGTCATCGAGGACGGCGCCCTCGACCCGCTCGCCAGCCTGCGCGTGCTCTCGCTCGCGCTCAACAGCATCGTCGAGGTGCCTTTTGCCCCAGACACTGCTGTCATAGACACTTTGCGTCATGTTCGTCATCGTTTCGCAAAGAGGGACTTCTCTTCAACCTATTATGCGACCTATATGCCTCTTTTTAAGTACTTATTTGAAATATAGAAGTGTTGGTTTCATTCAGTACTTGAAAAAATGGCGTATATGTCGCTTGAAGCGTTGTCCCATAATCAAACTCCGGAGTCCGTCTGTCATTCCCTTCAGTCCACAGTTTGCGTCAAGTAACGTGTTGTCATTCGATGCCACTCGGTCTGCTGGTGGAAGACAGGCCATTGCTTTTCGTAATCTTCTAATCTAATTTTCAGAAACTCAAATTCAGACATATAACAACACGTAAAACGGGTTTTAATGCTTCGGTGGCGTTTCAGTAAGCACGTAATGCCATTACGTATGCCCTCCCTACTAGATCTCGTTTTCCGTACGCTCATCCCTGGAAGGCCTGAGACCCATAGTTGGTTTATTTTATTAATATCATTTCATATTTGAGGGTCTGATAAATTAATGAATTTACCAAACCTTCTTTGATGTATGATGATTGTCATAAATGAATACATTTTTATCACTTCGTATTCTTATATGCATTCAATATAGACCAAAAAATAGTAATTGAATATCTCGTTACACGAAAAAACATCGCTTTTGTCGCATCAATAGTCGTATTTAATCTCAAAATCTTATATATTTTAATGTCAAATTAAAGCAGGCGTTTCTTCTCAACATAAAATATCATAGTGTAGTACACTACTAAGACAAAATACTAGAAATATGTGCCAAATGTATCCTGAATGATAATATTTCAATTGAATAATCTCGATTTTAAATCCAAATACGCTGTAATATCTCAAATTATACCGAATATTGTGGACATATCTTGGTCGAAAATCAGATTTTTAAAGATTGTCAATGGTTTCCAACTGCCTAAATTAAAGCAAACGCAGCAAAAGCTTAGACGTTGTGCGCGTGTGTCAGGTGCCGCGTTCGCTGCTGCGGCTGCCGTCGCTGCAGCGCCTGGTGCTGTCGCGCAACCCGCTGGCGCCCGAGTCGCTGGCGGCGGCGCTGGCGGCGGCGCCCGAGGACGGCCCGCTGCAGGTGCTGGCGCTGGCCAGCTGCCGCCTGCGCGCGCTGCCGCCCCTGCAGCGCCTGCCGCGCCTGCGCGAGCTCAACGTCTCCGGCAACCCGCTCGACAAGGTCAGCTGCGCAGGCAGGCATTCAGGATTTCATTTTGGGAAAGCGAATTAAATAGGTTGACGATATTTTTTTACCATTTGTGGTACATGCGTCCGTACATCACATATAATGAATAAATAAAAAATAATAAAATGTAGAAAATAAAAAAAACTTGAAATATACATTTAAAACTCTTTTGTAAGACTATATTTTATCAGCTACTAGTTTTTGGTGAAGGAAAATGGAGACTCGTTCCCGCAATCAACTGATTCGCGCACGATTAGGTCATTTCATAGACGGCTATTTTGATTTTCTTGTGATATATTTTACTGTCATTTAAAATTAACTAAGGTTCATTGGCAAGTGAAATCCGCGGGGAAAAAATACTTACGCCTTGAAATAATGATTGTGGACGAAAATGGTAGATTTTTCTTCTCCCTTTTAATTTTTACTCCTGACTTAATTCATGGATTAGAAAGTTGCTTCATTCTTTCACATTACGCATGTGTAGAGTTAACTTGTACTGGTTTACGATTGTTGAATTAAATTTCCGGTTCAATCTCTCTACCCGTACCTTTTCCTATTTTATTCTTATATTTGTATTTTATCTTCAGTTTATTTTGTCCTGTTTTTTTCGTATTTGTATACATTTCTAGTGATTAACTAAAGAGTTTTCCATGACTATTTCGATACATTAAATTATGATAATTTTTGATATTTTATTTGAAAGAATTTAAAAATGTTCAACTTTTAAGTGGATATAGAAGCGAGCTTTGTTTAGCGTGCGTGGTTTTGCGGTGAGCGCAGGTGAGCGCGGCGCAGCTGGCGCCGCTGTGCAGCCTGCGCGTGGCGGCGCTGGGCGACGCGCACGCCACCGTAGACTTCTGCGACTGCGTGCTGCTGCGCGAGTGGAGCGAGCGCGACGGCTTGCAGCTGCACCCCCCGCAGGCCCTCGACTGCGCCGGCCGCGACGGTACCACTCGCCTTCCTTTTATTTATACACGTTAACAAGGCGCATGCGCTGAATTAAAAAAAGTGTCATGTTAGTGTATGTTATTTCATGCATGTGTTATTTTATTAATATTTTATATTATAGCATTGATGCATGGTGAATTTGATTCTCGACGTTTCGAGCGTGTGAGTTCGCTCATCTTCAGGAGATTATGGAATGATATATCTCTGCTTGTGAAATGCGTTTCTTCTCATTGAAATTGTAGATAATATAAAAGTGTAAATATGTATATACTATAACCTACATGAAGATGAGCCAGTTCACGCGGTCGAAATGTCCAGAAAAAAGCACAGCACATATGCATCAATGTTACAGTATAAAACCTTCATGAAATACATTATTGGATGAAATATTATTCCAACCAGAGGGTCACTGAATAAGTCTAGTTATCTTGCGGCTAGTCAAGATTAAAAAAATTGTTCTGACAAACTGGAAAAACGAGGGGAGCTGCAGAGACACTGGCAGAGCAGGAGTGGCAGAATAGAATATGCTTATTGGCCCTCTAAGAAATTGAGGGAGCCTGAACTCTACCTACCAATTGTAAAGATTCTGCATAAAATACTTTGTTCCCACACATTTTTTGACTAATGAAGAACAGCAACACATTTTCTTGTAGACAATGTTATTGTTTTACAGCATGTCATAAAAATTCTTTTATGTTTTACTGAAATTATTTTTCCTGAAATAATAAATTAGAATAAAACTTCTACTGAAGACTACTGATTACTACTTACTGAACTTAAAAGTTAGGGGGACTCTGCCCCTCTGGCAAAGAAGGCCATGCATGGAATAGTGATATTTCCTCTTGGCAGTATTGTTTTTGATAACTGTGAATTCATAATGTAGTGACATTTTCAACAAAACTGCAGTGAAATCAGTACTAATGAAAAATCCAATTATTTTGCTCTTTATAAATAGATCATTGCAATTATGATAGTAATTAGGCGTGATTACCTTAGTTTTTGCACTTAAGATGGCTGTCTTTTTTTTCTTCCGAAATTTCCCTCTTTTGCGATTTTCTTTCTCGTAGGAAACATTTGTTGTTGATGTCATTGTAGAAAACATTTCCACCTCTTGAAATTTTGAACCTAGAATACTGAGGCACAAGTAGTTTTATCGAGTGCCCTCCAGGAGATGTGGTACCTTACCACTTTACTGCTAGGAAAGTTTAGAATACCACACTGCCAAGCAAGGGTGAGATCAACCGCTGCATTGGGCAAAGTTTAATGGTAAAAAAAATACCCACACCAAAAATCTGAAGATAAATAATAGTCTACGCAAAACAATTAAACGGAGGAAATTTGAAAAGATCTACATTTGTGTGACAAGGCATATAATACACGTTCAGACCAACAAAATTATTGCCAACAATTCATTAAAGTAGCCATTGTAAACACGTAGTTTTAACTATTATAGTACTAATTAAAGGAGTATATTAAGACCTAACAATTTAACACGGTGATGGATCTACGGGGGGGGGGAGTATGAAGGCCATGCCCCCCCCCCCTCAGCCAAGAATTTTTTTTAAGTTCAATTTATTAAAACTGGTTACCATTTTTCGCATCCAAAGGAGTTGACTCATTGCGAGCGCACCCTTCCATTTCGTTGCTGAATGCGCGGGTGCTTGTGCGTGTGCGCAGGGGAGCCGGCGGAGGTGGCGCGCTGCGCCAACAGCTCGGCGGCGCGGGAGGCGCAGGCGCTGCGCGCGCAGTGCGGGCGCACGCTGCAGGCTCAGGAGCGCGACGCGCAGCGGCGGCGCCTGTGGGCGTGGGTGGGCGCCGGGGCGGGCGCGGTCGCCGCCGCCCTCGCGCTGCTCGCCCTCTGCTGCTGGTGCTGCCGCCGCCGCCGCCAGCGCCGCCGGCGCGCGCGCCGCGCCGCCCCCGAGCGCAGCGGGTGAGTGCCTCCGCCAGCCAGGAAAGTCTAGCGGCCCATTCAATCTCTCTTTTTCCATGGTTTCTCTGATCAACACCCGGCGAATGCCTGAGAAGTACCCTAACAAATGGGCCACTGACAGCGTTCAATCATTCCTTTCTCTCCCGTGTCCTATCTTCACCCCTTACCTTCATGACTTACTCTTATGTGCACTATTAATACACTACCACACATGTTGGGAGCCTTCAGCTTGGCAGGGCTGAGGCAGTGTCCCGCTGGAGGGAGATATCTGGTAGGGGAAAACCTTGCTATCTGACACTCAGATTGGAATAGGCTCTCGCCATGCAATGCATGAAGACCACCACCACCACCGCCACCTCCTGCAATAAAACATGCACTACACTTACAGAACTGATGGTGCACCCGGAATCACTAATCAATCAATCAATCATTTTACAGCAGACAGGATCCACCCACTTGTATATGTAAGAGGAGAGTACATGAAGGACAGCAAAGACCCCTTTTTTACTCGGAAAAATGTATCTTACGGTATCATAAATCATCTCGTGTTTAAGTATTCGAATAACAGTTTAGTTTCAAATTACACAGTTCACCAATCTTCTGATTATACCCTTCTACTATATATGCTTTGAACCCTTTTGAACAGACGTGGTGAGATGTATCAGTGTATATGTACGGCTATATACTGATTCTGGCTAATTCTTAAAATACCTGGTTATGATATCTCTAACTCATATTATCTCAAATAGATAAATGAGGTCCAAAGAAACAACAGCTTCGAAACAAACTTTGGACTTTGGCCAGACAAAGTGCACGTAAGGCACTCCAAGGTGGCTAGTAGAGGTGAAATACATTACAGTGACAAGGGATAGCAGATATTTGGTGAAAAACAGATATTAGACTGCTTACTAGTGAAATGTTTCTAAACATAAGAAATGTAGTTTATAGTTCCACTAGTCATAAATTTTTATTGACAAGACACCATCTAATCAAACCTCACTTGAAGTTGGGCATTTCTGAATTGGAGACTAAGCATAAAACAACCTTTTGTTTGTGTGACGTGTAATTTCAAACTTTTTTTTAATGTTAAATACTTCTTACAACTGCACAAGATGCCTTGCACTCTCACAGTCACTTTACTTAAGCCTGGGCCCTCAGATTAATACCATCATCGGGATTATCCAACCATTATCTAGTTTGAGCTTTATCCATATTATCTCACTAAGCTGTAAATTAATTGGTTACTCCTAAACATATTTTGGACTTGAGCTCTAACAGAGACCTATAATTTGTTTAAGGCACAGCCCACATTTATCAAATTTTTATAGGTTTACCTAACACTTTCTGTTCTTAGCTTGTAACACCATAATTCAAAACACCTGGCCATTTTGTGACATTTTGGGGAGTTTGTATCAACTGATAAATTAGAGATAGGAGTAGGCACTTATAAATTGTGTCAGTCGCAGGACATCACATATCAGACTGGCCTAAAACACTTGAAAGGAATTCTGGTTTAAACATACTGAACAATATTCTTCATTATTTTTTCAAGGAGCAATTCAGAGGTTTCAGTCAATCTGTGCCATTTAATGTAACCTTAAAACTATTTCAAATGTATGGAGCCTTTCATTGCTACACTTACTCTTATTTTACATAGAAAAGGACTCTGATGTAACTTCTTACACTGGCAGAGTTTATCTAAATGAACTTAAAACCACATTTTTCAGCTGACACTGTAATATAGAAGTTGCTGAGCTCAGAGCACCAAACACACAATATAAAACAGCACTTTTTATGGAGTGAAAGTCCCGAAATGCATATAAATATGAATGTTTTTGAATTCACTAATTTCTTCACAATAAATTATCATCCTAACTGAATAACCTTAGTAAAATTCTTAAAACTTATTGTAATATTATAAATCAAATGATTGCTCCAGAACTATTTACATCTTTGTTTTAAAGTGCTTCAATAGAACAACAGCTTTGCTTGTACACATTAGCATGTCAACACATCTTTTCATCACGTCTCACAAGGAGCTGGCTGAGAGGGTTTCAAAATTCCAAACAAACCCAAACTTTTGTAGCTGAAACGGTTATTTTGAAAATTGTGTAGCAAGTCCTGAATCACATTCTTCCTACTGTGTTAATGCAAAATTAATTAAGAAATATGGAGAATTGAATTTGTATGTAGCACGATCTTTGATGTTCCTGTTAAAGATACACAAACCACATTTTAATGGATTCACTGTGGAGTGAAAACTACTATTAATGTAAAAGATTCTTTATTTTTTCCCATAAGATTGTGATTTGCAATGAAAAAATTCTCCCTCTCTAGAAGTAGCCACTAAAATTTTTTCATCATGGATATGATGCAAAAACGTCTTTGTTTTTCAAAATACTTTTGTTTACTTTACATTACTTTGTTTCTCAAAAATTTCATTCATATCAATTCAAATTCTTTGTTTGTTAGCTATTAAATTTGAATACAAATGTAATTTTGTGAAAATACTAGTGTTTGAGAATTAGGGAATCCATTGTGCCAAATGCCCAAGTTACCCTTCAACCAGTCAAATGTGCCCTCCAATTAGAAATGGAATCTTCCATTTTTTGATTTTGAAATTTACTGTGGTGAACTAACTGTGAAATGTATATTAAAACTTATGCGTAACTCTAACTCGTAAATCTAATGTGTAGTATGATTTCTATTCATAAAATTGCTTTTGGGTTTGGTTGTGAGATAGCTTTTAAATTTAATGATCACTGCGTCAGATAATTCTCTACAGCTAAATTTCTGTCAACACAAAGAAAATTAAGCACAACATTAAGTGTCATACAGTACTTTTTCTTTGACAAATAACAGCTGTCATAAGTTAAACTTTTAACGTGAATGGTTTCATGGCTATTTGGTTTGAAGTGCTATGTAACCACACCAATGCCACATAGAAGACGGTCACTTATGTTTCCTAGATGTCATTTGTTAAACATATGTATATCAGACATTAAATGTGCAGTACACAAGTTAGGATTCAGTTAATTAATGAAACATCATTAAAGTTCTATCTGTTCTTATTTTTTATCAGCTGGTTCAGTTCTCATTGGAAGATTAAGACTTCTGAGTTTTGGAAATGGAAGAGCTTGTGTAGTTTACCTTCACCTCCCAATAGATTGTCATGGAACTGTAATGCACTGTCCAATGCATGGTAGTAATGCACTGTCCAATGAAATATAACAATGACCAATAATTGACTACTTCTCAACGTAAACTTTCCTGTGATTGGCCAAATACCTTTTCTATAATGAAGCTGTTTCATAAGGACTATCATTGTGCAAAGAGCTGTAGCCATATAATATGAGAACTATACCCAGGGACCAGAAAAGCTGGCCTTGAAAAAAGCATAAAGCAAAATTTCTTATAGCGCCGTCACAAATAATAGATATTAATTCTTGCTATTGAATCATTTATTCCAGAAAAAGCTGTGATGAAGATGAGGAGGATTTTGCTCCCATGACAAAGAAGTACACCAAGTAATTGTGTTAAGAAGCAGATCTTGGGTGAGAGTCCATTGGAGAATGTACAGATGTAGCGGTCCAAGTGCAATGTGGGGCAGTGCAATGTGTTCATCATTTTAACATTTCCCCTTCAATCAAGTGTATATTAACCAGAGAATGCTGTGTTTTAACAAAACAATGTTGGAATGTAATGATCTTACATTTTAAATCCTTCAAGAATCTTTGCTTTTTCCATGATCCAACATTAACAATGACCATGAAAAGAGGAAATGAAGTTTTAAGAAATACACTGTTGTGTGTATTTCGCATATAAAACCATATTGTTCTTCTCATTTGTAACATACTATTTGAAATTGAAACCAGTATGTGTGTGAGTGAATATTGACTCATATTTTTGAATGGTTGTGGAACAACTTGACAGACAATTTGAAAGTGAATTGTCAGAGCAACTCAATTTGTTTGAAAATAGACAAGAGTGAAAATCTTATCAGACTGTGGCTTGCTAGTCATGCTTCTGCCAATACTTCAGCATTGTAATTTTAGAGTGGAGCTTGAGGTTATATAAGTTTTTGGTGTTATAAAAAGCTTTGTTTGTAGAACTTGCAATTTATTGTGCTCAATGTGTTGGTAGAATATGCATAATGTTTTTGTACATGTGTAAACAATTTTATTAAATGTAAGATATTGTAGAAATAAAACAAATTCACAACTTTTATTTAAAGAAAAACTTTTCATTCCCCAATTGTTTTCCATTCCTTTACACATCACAATAATCATCAATAGTTACCATTAATAATTTTATTAATAATCATTGAAATTGCTTACTGTTCACTTGCTGACCCCTGAATAACGAAATTGGGAGAAGAATTGTTAATATGACAGATGTAATCAATACTCCCACAATATCCAAAAATCTGCCATTTCTAAAATAGATTCTGCTCAAATAATAAAAAGTAATTCCTTCATTTAATCTGTATTATTTAGTCCATTTGTTCAAACCAGAATTAAATTTATAATAATCAAATAACGCCTGTATTCTGCCCTGAGGAGGAAATGAAAAGTTTTGTAAAAGAGAAACTACTTCTAGTTTTGATTTGTAGAAATAAAAATTGCATATATGTAGTATTTCATTTTTTATTTACTTATTGATCAATGGACTGATGCCCATGTAGCAAAATCAAAAAATACAAAGAGTATAAGAAAAGCGGATACAGCACAGAAAGTGTGGGCTTACAATAATTCATGAATACATTAACAAACTATTTCTTGCCGAAGATAAGAGTTTACAATAACTTTGGTTGATACAGTCTCAAGAAGCATTATTCACTAATTTGCCCTTTGTGGTTATTGGATTGTTTACAAGTGAATGGCATAGTATGTTTGTACAAGAAATACATTAGGTCATGTCATTGATGTAGCTGGAACTCTTAAAGTCAATTTGTCCTAATAGTAAAGAGTAGTCTCTTCTATCATTTATTATTTTATACAGAAATATAAAGTCATTAAAACCTCTGGATGGTTTTAATGTGGGGATGTTCAGCAATAAAAAAATGTCAATAATATTGATGGTCAATAAGAGAAATGGAAGAAGCAGGGTGCAGCAAGTCTAAACAATTTGTGTTGTAATGTTACCAATTTGTGTATCAGATGTAAGTAAAAAGAAGACAAAAAAAATACTGATTGGTTTATTAATATTGGTTTAACAAGCATCGGATAAAGATACTTCAATTCGTCAATCGAGCTGAAAGCAAGGCAAGTTCTTCTCATGAAGTCCAAAAGTTGGTTAGCCTTATTTACAGTGAGAGCTGTATGATTGGAAAACATAAGCTTGGAATCAAAATGACTCCCTGATACCTAGTAGTAGTATCTTTCTTTCATGGAACAGAATCAATTTCGTAATCATACTGAACAGGTGAAAATATCATGAAGCAATTATTTATACATCTTGATAAAAGTTCGAACAAATTAAAAATTATTAAACAACCCCCCCTCTCCCAAAATTAATTATTTGTACTACAGCATCTACAAAAAGATAATTTATTTTCACAGCTCATATTTTAGAAACATTGTTTTTAATAAAAGAAAAATAATTTTGGCATTAATAGTAGTAAAAAAATTCTACATACTTCACTCTTGGTGATGAAAAAACTAAACAAAAGCTGTAAGGTGTTTTTTTTTTTTGTCACTCCTTTCATTTTTTCCATTACTTATGTTGTACTTAAAGGTCAAATAAGCTATCTCAAAGGTAGTATATACTTAAATAGCAACATTGTGCGATACGTAAATTCATGAAATATTAATTTCTTTAATATTTTCTAATCGGGAAAGCAAGGGAATAAATTAAAAATATATTTAATTTTTCATTTTTGTTTTTAAATGCAATAGATACACATAAATAATATTGGTAAGAAATAAATATTTCCTAGTTAAAAAGTAAACTGTTCATTTAAATTAGTGCATTAATACAAAAATAATTATAACAATATTCAAGAAAAATGTTCTAATCTTATAAAGTGGGTTTTCTGAGCATATCCAGAGTATCTCTGTATGAATCATTTTTCAATTCAATTCTCTCATTACATCACAATGAGTGTGAAAACGCAACAGTACGCACTTACTTTATCATTCTTTTTCAGGTTCCCTGCACTTAATACAAGTTTTCATTGCTGTTAATTCACAATTATGCATTTTGTTTGTTCTGTGAAGAAATTAATTGGCCAATATTGTCAATATTATCAATATTGTAAAACTGAGGACCTAGAGTTATTGCTGTGCTCCAGTTGTTATTAGAGGGCTAGGCTTTCTTTTCGGAAAACTATAATTCCCTAACATTTTTACAGTTAACCACCTTCAAAATTACAATAGATCTAAAGTAACAGATTTTGCAGCTGCCTTTGATTTCCTGTGAAAGAGCTAAGCACAACTATAAATTACTCCAAAGAAAATTGGGCCTCCACCATTACTTTGACAGTATATTGGATTTGTGAGTGGTTACATTCTGATCAATTGTGTATGTCCCATTCATGTTCAAATTGTACATTTTTACCACATGTGGCTGACATATGTACTAACTTTTTCATTTGCTGAATCCTGTGACTTCATGAGGTGGGAGTATGCTTTTGGAATTTGACATTGTAACATTGGAGCAATCATTCTATCTAAAAAGTATTTTTTAACTTCCTAGTTTCCACAGACTTGTTTAGTAGATCATTACTTGCACTCGAAATATCACTATTTCATAGATTTGTAATAAATATTTGTGTTGGGAGTGTTTCAAGTTCAAGTAACACAAAGTCGATAGGAATTCAAATTTGTTCTGTGTTCTTTTTCCCTCAAATCTTCAACTGTATCACTACAAATTTCTGGAGGACCTAGGAAGATATTCATACTACCGGTCGACTTTGGATTCAGGTTCTTCCAGCTCAAAGATAATGAAGTATTGCCAGTAAGACCAATTACATGGAAATGATATTTTCTGTGCTCAGTATTAAGAAAATGCAACATTCAATGTAGAAAGCTGTGTGAAAAATTCAGTAAGACTATCATGAAAACATGTAACAGCTGAAAAGTACAATTAGTGTATTAAATAAAAACAGTGAGGCACCAGTGTATCCAAAATCAGTATTAATATGTTTGAAAAATAATCATGCCTCGATTTTTTTCAAATCTCCTTAAATATCTTCGCGGTGCTATCCAGTTGACAGACCTTAAATGGCAACTGTTGCCTTTCTCTCTGTGTCTAGGGACTAATTTAAGAAATATCATGTAAGAAATATATTTTACACATACATGTACACCTGGAAGAAAACGAAGAAAAAAGGAGAGAGAAAAAATATAAGAAAACAAAACAAACTTGATAGGACGAAAAGCGAAAAAAGGTTATATAGTTTTAGTAATTAAAAGGTAATAGTTGCCTTTATACAAGTGACTTCATAGTTGTGAAGAGCGTAGAAGTTTTAATTCGATATTGCCGAAAAGTATTAACATAGGTTTTAATATAGGTCAAGACACTGATGGCTTTAAGAACTGTGAGGCCTGCGAGCACAAAAACACATGCCTACCCCCCTTCCCAGAAAAAAAGTCCAAGTATATAAAAAAATCAAATTATAAAAAATATTTAAATACAAATTTTCCAGTACACTTGACTTTCATCGACAATTATTTAACACGTATAAATAAATAATTCATTATTTTTCACTCGAATATTTTGATTATTTCTCGTCTTTGGATGGGAGCCCCAAAGGAACTGCTTATTTCGCTTGTATGTAAATTCGGCTCTAGGTAAAGGGGAGAGAAAGGGCACTTTTAAATAGAGATACGACAGCGGCAACAAAACATCAATGTTTCTAAACGTCGATGCTCAAAATTTTGAGCGCAATCCGCGGCCCTCAACTTCGACCCAAAATCATCGATTTTTCTAGCAATACATAAGTAACCATTGATGATCACGTGGGGGAGAGATTTAATTTGAAAATAGGCGCGTTCTTAATTGAGTTTTATCTGACAAAAGAAAGTAAAAAAAACATTAGAATAAATAAAAACTTTAATTATCTTATTCGACAATTAAAAAATAATATTGGTGGCTTTATTGACGAAAACTCGATTTTTATTATTTTTCACCCTTCGTCACTTTGGTACGAGGAATATTCAATATTTGTATATTTGAAAAATATTATAGAGATTTTGCCTGACGGTTACTTAAAAAAAATTAAAATTGAAAATAAAAAAAAACAGGATCAGGTTCTTGGGATAAATGTTTACTCATTTAAGAAATTGCGAGGATTTTATGGGCTTGCGCTCCCTAGTAATCCCTAGTAAAAAGTACCAACGTGAAGAAGAATGATTGACATCAAAAACTGTGTTGACAGCTTTAAACTACCCTTTTGTACACATTTGCCCCAACAGCGAAACAATTAGAATTTATAGGATTCTAGAGCATAAGGTACCACCCAGACTGGGGTAAAAAACTTTCATAAAACCAAGAAGAAAACCATATTTTTAAATCATTCAGAGCATGATTTACTACCTAGAATAAGGCATAAATAATAACATTTAAAAAACAACAAATTTTTAGTTAACGTTACACACCCTAGAAACCGACTAAGTTGAATTTTGCTGAAAATGGTGCGCATTTACCCCGCTCTAACCTATATGAACTATTTTATAAAAACATGGATGTTTTGGAGACAAGGACGTGGCTGTCGCATCCGCACCCTCAGAACCACTCTGCGGCGCAGGGCGTGAGGAGCAGCTTGCGCGGCGCGGGCGGCGGGGGCGGGGGCGGG